TGCTAAGAATTGGAGAGGGGGTGGTGGGAGTCACTCTGCGTGGTGATCCTTTCATAGAGGCGTGAAGTAATTACCGTCTACCGGTGGCCCAATTCTATTCATGTTCCCCCCTATTTTGACAATAGACAAAGTCGTGCCTGGTGCGGAGGGTTCATTTCCCTACTCCCCAGGGACCGCCCTGAGCGGGACCTGGGGGTTGGGCAGAATCCCCTTCTCTCTTTTTTATTTTTTCAAAAAAATAAAATTTCCTAGGTATTACCTTGTCCTGCTGGAAGCCTCGTCCCTTCTCTCCCGGGAGGGCCTGTCCAGGCCAACCAGCCGCGCCCGGGGTCCAGGATAAAAGGCCCCCCCCGTTGTTTTTTCCGGGGGGGGGGGGGGGACGGGGGGCGGGGGAGCCCCAGGCAGCGGAGGAGAAGGCGCTGTTATTGATTTATTTATTTTTAAAATATGTTTTTATTGGTTTCGCAGAGGAAGGGAGAGGGAGGGAGAGAGAAACATCGATGGATGAGGGGAGAGAATCACTGATGGGCTGCCTGATCCACGCCCTCAGGCACGTGCCCTCGACAGGAATGGGACCCCGGGCCCTTCGCCGACGCTCTATCCGCTGAGCCAAATCCACGCAGTCGCGTGGCACTGAAATGCCTCTGACACAATGGACTTGACGAACATAAAACAGGGTTTCTTCCCTTGCCTCTCGGAGACTCGGCACCGCGGGACGTGGTCCTCCCGGAAGAAATGGGTTTGCCTTCAGCCGTCCGTTCTAGTCCGCCCTTACGGCTCCTCTGGAACCTAACATACTGGGATTTTTCTTTCCTGAGCAAATTTCTCCCAAGTTATTCTCGGATTTTTCTCCCTTGAGGACTGAAGAGAGAGGAGATGGTTTCCGACCCATTTCTTCACATTCTCTCTCTGAGGCCTCAGCTTCCAGACTGGGCTGGATTACAAGGGTCTCTGGTCATGTGACCCTGCATCACGTGATCACATTTGTCCACCTCACTCTGAAGCGAAGGTGTGGCACCTGGTTTCCCATCCGGGTCTCACATTGTCCTGAGCGCCACTACAGGGCGCTGAGTCCCAGGGGAGGGCCGGGCGGACGGCCACCACACTTCCCGAGGTTGTGATGAGATCTGTGACTGTGACCATCAGCCTCCTCATTGGACTGGGGGTGGCCCAGCCCAGAGGAGGTCAGGGCGGCCATGGGCACCAGCCAGGAGCCGGAAACAGGGCTGAACCCCTGAGGGTCACCTCTGTCCACGCTCACCAGGTCAGAGGTCAGCCCGGGAGCCCTCGGGGCCAACAGGTCTGTTGCTCCCCCTGCAAGAGACAGAAGGGACCTCAGACCTGGGCTTAGGGAGAGCGTCCCAGGGGAGGGAGGCAGGAGGCACAGGGATGTCTTGGTCCTGATGCCTCACAGCTAAAACCGGCCATTCTATGCCTACCGTGATGGCGAACCTATGACACGCCTGTCAGAGGTGACACTCATTTTTTTTGGTTGATTTTTCTTTGTTAAATGGCATTTAAAGATATAAAATAAATATCAAAAATACAAGTCTTTGTTTTACTGTGGTTGCAAATATCAAAAAATTTCTATATGTGACACGGCACCAGAGTTAAGTTAGGGTTTTTCAAAATGCTGACACGCCGAGCTCAAAAGGTTCGCATCACTGTCCTAGAAGGAGGTTTTGGTTGCACTTCCCCGTGCGTCTGCATCACTGTGTGAATGTAAAGTGCTGCCCAAGTGCGTGAGACAGTGATAGTGGGCCTCGTCCTCCGGCTGGGCCCCCGAGATGGTGAGGGCGGCTTTGTTCCCAGAGATGGAGCCAGAGAAGCGGGCAGGGACCCCAGAGGGGCGGCTGTTTGTGTTGTGGATGAGCAGGCGGGGAGGCTTGCCTGGGGTCTGCTGGAACCAGCCAGGGTAGTTACCCGTAGAGACGGCCCCAGAGCTGAGGCCACAGGTGAGTGTGACTGTCCCTCCTGCAGATACTGACACTGACGGCTCCTGGGTCACCACAGTCTGAGAATCCACCCCTGAAATCAATGAGAGAGACATGAGTGTTATTATGGGAGACAGGGTCACCCCACAACCCTGCTTTTATGTGTCCGTCCGTCCACCCTGCCCCCAAGGATGCAGAGTCCCTTCCTCTGACCTGAGCTGTGCGCCAGGAGCTGGAGCAGAAGCACCGTCCAGACCATGATGGGGACACTCACAGGATGTGGCTCCTCAGGCTCCTGGGCTGCAGTGGGGAGTCCTGGGCCTTTTCATGCCTCCCACACCCATTAGGGGAGAAGGGCCTCATGCAAATCAGCTTCCCCTCTAGTCCTGCCCCAGGGTCACCCTGCTGTCCCCTGGGAGGGGGGGGGGTGTCTTGAAAGAGGCAGATGCTGGGCCCTCACAGAGTCTGTTTTCCTCACCGAGGGCAGAGCCAGCAGCTTCTGACTTAGGACCCTGGATGGCAGGTCAGAAGGTGGCAGAAGGGATGGGTGAGGACCGCCTGTGCCAGGCGACGGGAGCGGAAGACAGGGCGACTGCCCGCGCCTTTCACTCTCTCACTCTCCCCAGGGAAACTGGTGGTTCAGGGGTGAGGAGGTGGGAGGACACGTGACCGTGCTGGGGAGTCCCCGGGACTCTGTGCCGAGGTCTCCCTGCTGACGTTGAGAAAGCCCCTCTGAGGTGTCTCCTCTGCCGTGTGCGTGGAGCAGCGGAGATCACATGTTTTCTAGCAAATTTATTTGTGTCGTGTGTCTTCAGCCTCATCATGGTTCAGTGACCTCCTTCCGGAACTGGGGTTCTGGGATGGAGTGGCTGAGGGCTGGGCGATGACATGAGTCTGTTCCCCTCTTGGCCCAGCCGTCAAGTTCATCCCAATGCTAACCCCGCCCTGGGGACGTTCCCTCCCTTCCTCAGTGGAATCCCACCTAGTGGTCACCCCTCCCCCCAGAAGCGAGATCCCTGGACAGTGACAAAGCCGATGTCTGGCGTGTGAAGGGACAGGGTTCCCCTGATGACAGAGTCTGAGCAGCTGTCTCCAGCAGCATCGGGAGGACCGGGGCGCGGGTGCCCCTCACCACGGCGCCGCCGGCCTTGGGTTGGCAGGTCCCCTTTGCTCTAAAAAGCCATCGCTGTGTGCACCTCCGACATCAGCACAGGTTTGGAGAAGGGAAAGGCCCAGGGTCACCAGGAAATGAGGAGACACCTGACAACCTCAGCTCCAGTACAATAAGCAAAACCGTGTCTCCCAGTCGGAAATAGCAGCAGCCCTGAGGGGGACAAGCTGGGGGAACATGAGGGGGTATTTTAAATCTCCTTTCCCTCCACATCTGCTGTGCAGAGGAAGAAATCAGGGGGCTGGGCTGGTGGTGTGGGGGGTGGGGGGTGAACAGGGAGATAAAATCCTCCAGTGCCTGAGGATGAACGCACACACGATGGGTGTTCATCGTTGCGTACAGTGAAGATGGGGTTTGGTGTCCGTTGTGGAACTGCAGGTACATTTCCTGTGTAATGACATGTGCACGACTGTCCCTTTCTCTTCCTATGTCTTGGAGAACCCCAACTCCGTTACGGACAGATACGCATCCTAATGATTTTACTGGCGTACAAATGGGTCTCTTCTGGTGGAGAAACTTGGGTCATGTTATATGTACCGAATTTTGAGTCAAGGAGAAGTATGAACACCCAAGAAGAAAAGAATTCGAAAGCTCAAAACGCAAACGATACCGATTTCCACTGTGAAATCGTGAGAAATGAGAAATACCGGAGCGGTAGACAGAAAGCAGTGGACGTAAGCAGTGGGCGTGATGGCAGATAAAGGACCGAGGCGCTCATCACACCTTCCACCGTGTCACAGTGGGAGCACGTCAGCAGCGGTGGGTCCCTCCGGTGTGCCACCCACAGATGGCCCCGGGCCCCCTCCAGGGCCTGCGGGTCATTCATACTTCCTGTGGGCGGATCCGGGCGGGGAATGGAAGCGAACTAATCCCATGGAACTAGGAGCTCTTAAAAGTCTGGATTTGGGAGACACGCAGGGCCCCAGCGCCCCTCACATGCAGGAAGGAGACCGAGCAGCGTCCTCTGTGGGTCCCGAGAGACACTGCCTGACTCAGACAAGCCTGTTCCTCCTGCTTGACAGCCTCCCTAAGAGGATAATAGAGGGGGGCTGTAGGGGGGCACGGGGGGACAGATGTGTATGTGCATCAGGTAACATTCCAAAGTCCGAACCGCGAGCTGGTCTCTGGGTTGAGGTGGAGCAGAGCCCAGACCACTGGGACCCTGACACTCCCAGCGGCTCAGGGTCCCGTCCGGTGAGGTGTTGACTCTGTATGTGGACTCATGAGGGACAGTGTCTGTGTGTTTCTGGGGCCATCGAGCGGGGAGTGGCAGCGGGTCTCTGAGCCCAGTGTGGGCTGACATGTTTTGGAGCTGAGCCCCTCCCCTGATCACAGGCAGGGAGACAGGAGCCCCGGGGTCCTGGAGTCAAAGGGGGGAGACGGACACCCCTGGCAGAGACCGCAGGGGCACACAGGGGGGCCAGTGGGCAGGAAAACGGGGCCACGGAGCCCCCTGCTTAGGATGAGGGTGACATTTGCAACATCATCCTTCCCTTCTGCTCACGCGCTGCCGCTCTGTGCCTGTGAGGGGTTCTGGTTGGACTTCCCCATGTGCCTGCATCACCGTGTGAATAAGTAGCACCATCCAAATGCAGAGCGCAGTAGTACTCGGCCTCGTCCTCGGGCTGGGCCCCCGAGATGGTGAGGGCGGCCTTGTTCCCAGAGATGGAGCCAGAGAAGCGATCAGGGACCCCAGAGGGGCGCTTGTTTGTTTCGTAGATGACCGTGCGTGGAGGCTTGCCTGGGGTCTGCTGGAACCAGCTGGGGTAGTTACCAGTAGAGACGGCCCCAGAGCTGAGACCACAGGTGAGTGTGACTGTCCCTCCTGGAGATACTGACATTGACGGCTCCTGGGTCACCACAGTCTGAGAATCCACCCCTGTAACCAACAGGAGACAGACAGGTGTTATGAGGGACGAAGGTCACCCTGAGGCCCTGCTGTTCTGTGTCCCCCAAGGATGCAGGGCCCTTCCTCTGACCTGAGCTGTGCGCCAGGAGCTGGAGCAGAAGCACCGTCCAGACCATGGTGGGGACACTCACAGGATGTGGCTCCTCAGGCTCCTGGGCTGCAGTGGGGAGTCCTGGGCCTTTTCATGCCTCCCTCACCCATTAGGGGAGAAGGGCCTCATGCAAATCAGCTTCCCCTCTAGTCCTGCCCCAGGGTCACCCTGCTGTCCCCTGGGGGGCGTGGGGAGAGGTATTGAAAGAGGCAGATGCTGGGCCCTCACACAGACTGTCTTCCTCCTCCTCAGCTTCATCATGGTTGTAGTGACCTCCTTCCGGAACTGGGGTTATGGGATGGAGTGGCCCAGGGCAGGAGAGAGGGGGGGAGAGAGGAGGGAGAGCGCCATATTTAAACTTATTTAAATAAAGGCTTGGACACCGAGGGCAGAGCCAGCAGCTTGGCCACTGGGTTAATTTCTGGTCCATGAGCATCTGGAGCAAAGTATAGGCTGAATGTTCCCCAGAAAGCCCGTCAGTTCCTACCTGGTCTTGACTCCCCTTGGTGATCCTTTAGGGTGAAATTCGTGGTGGTTGTTGTTGTCTCTGTGGCTGTTGTGAGGGGCTCCTGTCAGAGTCCCAGCCCCCAGAGGACTTGTCTTGGCTTCTTCCCTCTGCCTTTGCCATGAGAATATGACGATGTCGGGGAGCAAGTGTCTTGTGTTCTTTGGTTACTTCTGCAGCTTCTAATTTACTCTGGAACGTTACACTGGCAATACCTGCTTTCGGCTCTTGAGCTATTTGAGATGTGTTTCTCTAGTTTTGTCATTATTTTCAGACAAGGTTTGACATAAAAACTGTGTTAATATGCATGAAACTCTACCCTGTTGTGGAGTTCTCTTCTCCCTCATGGGATGTAGAAGTCCTCACTTTCTGTTCTTCCATCTTTTTAGCCTTAAGTATATTTGTGAGGATATCCATGGATTTCATGGGAATTGGGTTTCTAAGGTTTAGGGTCAAATCAACTAACCTTGATCACATGTCATCCCAACAACAACAGCAGAACGCAGAGAGGAAAGAGGGAGCGGCCTCGGGATAAACTGGAGGAAGTGCGCCTCCTCTGAGAGCCGTGTCCTTCCTGGGGAGGGGCCTGGAGCCTGGAGATCACACGCTCCTCACAGTGTAATTTCCAGGAAGAAACACCCAGATTCCTCAGGTGTCAGGACTCAGAGAATAAACATCCAGGGCAAGGCAGGGAGCAGGGGACACACAGGGCCTGGGTGAGGTCACCTCAGTCTCTCAGGCCACATAAGCGGGATCTCTGCTTTAAGAAAAAAACAAAAAACTTTATTTTTCAATTTTAATTTATATTTAATATTATTTTCTATCGGTTTCACGTGCACAGCATCGTGGTTGCACAATCCTATGCTTTACAAAGTGTCCCCTTGGTACCTGGGCCCACCTGGCACCGCACAGAGTTATCACAGGCTATTGTCTGGCTTCCCTGTGCTGTGCTTTCACTTTCCTGTCACTGTTTGGGAAGCAGCAATTAGTACTTTATCCCTCCAACTTTTTCATTCAGTCTCCTAGACCCCCTGCCCTCAGGAAACAATATGTTTGGACTCAATTTACTTTGCTTATTTATTCTGTCTTTTACATTCCTCATTTGAGTGAAATGTTATGGTGTTTGTGTTTCTCTGTCTGACCTACTTTACTCAGCACAGTCCCCTCTAGGTCCCTCTGGGCACCTGGTGCTTCCACAGCTCGGCCATTGTCAGTGATGCTGCAGGGAGCACAGGGTGCGTGCAGTTCTTCACGTCAGTGTTTGGGTTTCTTCACATAAATACCAGATGTGGCATCGCTGGGTAATGAGGCAGTTTGGCCTGTAGATTTTTAAGGCCCCTCCGTACAGCTTTCTAGAGTGACAGCACCAATCTGCATTCTCACCAACAGTGCATGAGGGTTCGCTTTTCTTCACATTTTTGCCAACAGTGGTTGTCTGATAATTTGACGACAGCCATTCTGAGGGTGTGAGGTGGCATTGCATTGTGGGTTTAATTTACATTTCTGTGAGGATCAGTGACGTGGAGTATCTTTTCCTCTGTCTGTTGGCCTCTGTGTGTTCTTTATGAAGAAGTGTGTTCAGGTCCTCTGCCCATGTTTTAATTGGATTGTTTTGTGGGTTTGCTTTCTCTTCTTGGTGTTGAGTTGTGTGAGCTCTTTATGAATGTGGGACATGGACCCCTTCATGGGTTGATCATTGGTGAATACCCACTTCCATTACATCAGTGTAGGCTGTCTTTTTGTTTTGTTGGTGGTTTCCTTCGCTGTCCAAAAATGCGTTACTGATATGTAGTCCCTTTGATTTATTTTTCTTTTGCTTTCCGTGTCTAAGAGGATGTAGCAGAGAAAATGTTGGTAAGATTAATGTCAAAGATTTTAGTGACTACGTTCTTTTTGGGGTTTTACGGTTTTGAGTCTTACATTTCAGTCTTTCATGCATTTTGAGTTTATTATTTGATGTGGGGGAAGGAAGGCAACAATAGGAGGAGAGGTGCTTCTCCAGCATTCATGTCGAACCTCCTCCTGGAGAGCTTGTGGGCATAGACTTTCTGGGACAAGAACAGAGTCCCTGACTCAGTGGCTCTATCATGGGAATTGCATTTCTAACCACCCGAGGTAATGCCCCTTTTTCAAGGCCAACGTAAGCACTGAGGTTGTCCCCACAGGGGATTCCTGACTGGGGCTGTGTCGTCAATGCTCGTTGAGTCACAGGAGACTTACAGCCTCACAGTGCGGTCTCTGAGTCTCACTGTAGGTTGATTCAGTTGGGAGCTGAGCCCGTCCCTGTAACTATGGGCAGAGAGGAGGAGGGAAAGCCCATTCTTGCAGGAGTCACATGTCAAGATGGACCCGCATTGGGAGAGATGGAGGAGGCACATGACCATGAATAATTAGACGGAGAATGGGGCCAGGGAGCCCCCCTCCCATGGTGTGTTGCTCATTTCCACCTTCAGGCGTTTTCTGCATCAAAGGCTGAGCCAGTGTGAGCCCATGAGGAGGTTTTGGTTGCACTTCCCCGTGGGTTTACATCACCGTGTAAATAGTAACTACTACCACCTATGTCCAGAGCACAGTAATAGTCGGCCTCATCCTCAGGCTGGGCCCCCGAGATGGTGAGGGCGGCTTTGTTCCCAGAGATGGAGCCAGAGAAGCGGGCAGGGACCCCAGAGGGGCGGTTGTTTGTGCTGTAGATGAGCATGCGGGGAGGCTTGCCTGGGGTCTGCTGGTACCAGCTGGGGTAGTTACTACTAGAGACGGCCCCAGAGCTGAGGCCACAGGTGAGTGTGACTGTCCCTCCTAGAGATACAGACTTGGACGCCTCCTGGGTCACCACAGTCTGAGAATCCACCCCTGAAACCAACAGGAGACAGACAGGTGTTATGAGGGATGAAGGTCACCCTGAGGCCCTGCTGTTCTGTGTCCCCCAAGGATGCAGAGGCCCTTCCTCTGACCTGAGCTGTGCGCCAGGAGCTGGAGCAGAAGCACCGTCCAGACCATGGTGGGGACACTCACAGGATGTGGCTCCTCAGGCTCCTGGGCTGCAGTGGGGAGTCCTGGGCCTTTTCATGCCTCCCTCACCCATTAGGGGAGAAGGGCCTCATGCAAATCAGCTTCCCCTCTAGTCCTGCCCCAGGGTCACCCTGCTGTCCCCTGGGGGATCTCTAAAGGGGCAGATGCTGGGCCCCCACACAGACTGTCTTCCTCCTCCCCAGCTTCATCATGGTTGTAGTGACCTCCTTCCGGAACTGGGGTTATGGGATGGAGTGGCCCAGGGCAGGAGAGACGGGGGGAGAGAGGAGGGAGAGCGCCATATTTAAACTTATTTAAATAAAGGCTTGGACACCGAGGGCAGAGCCAGCAGCTTCTGACTTAGGACCCTGGATGGCAGGTCAGAAGGTGGCAGAAGGGATGGGTGAGGACCGCCTGTGCCAGGCGACAGGAGCGGAAGACAGGGCGACCTCCCGGCGCCTTTCACTCTCTCACTCTCCCAGCGGGAAACTCGGGGTTCAGGGGTGAGGAGGTGGAGAGGACACGTGACCGTGCTGGGGACTTCCCGGGACTCTGTCCTGAGGCCTCACTGCTGACGCTGAGAAAGCCCCTCTGAGGTGTCTCCTCTGCCGTGTGCATGGAGCAGCGGAGATCACATGTTTTCTAGCAAATTTATTTGTGTCGTGTGTCCATCTGTTTTGTAAATCAGGTCGGACTGTTGGATCCATGAGGGAGCGGAGGGATAGGAGACAAGTGTGGGTGTCAGAGCTGAGGGCTCATGTGGCTCCTGGGCCCAGGGGCAGGGAAGTCACACTTGAGTGAGGACCTGCCTGCCCAAGTGTGCAGGGGCCAGTAGAGTGTGTTCCTAGCTGCCTGGCCCAGAGCCCTGAGCTCTCAGTCCCAGTGCACCAGCGCCCCTGCTGGTCCCAGA